GTGTTAAACATACAAATAAACAGCATGTTTAATTCCCAATAATATTATGTGATTGGTGTATTTGACAATGGGTCGCTGACCTTTGACTTAAGGGCGTGTGTGTGGTAATTCCCATTAGGATTACCTAAACAAATTTTATAAATCAACACTAAACAAATCGTTGTTGTAAAACACAGAAAAGTTACCAGCGGTCTATAGAAAGAATCCAGTCTAGGAGGCGTAATATTTATTTTCTAAAACAAAAAACCAAGTTCTTTTTTAGAGCAGACAAACAATTGTTCGTCATTGGGAGAATGTCATTCTTCTTTTTCAAAAGAAAACCAATTTATATTCAGAAGTGGAACAATATATATTTTTTCTGGTCATCTCTGGCGATCCTGAATCTATTTGCTTCAAAAAATGATCCTGAAGCAAAAAGAAAACTAAAACTTTAGGTTAAAGTTGTAAAAGCACAGGAAGTTCAACTGTGATCAATTATCGCTTAGATTGATCTTAAAAAGGACAGTAACCAGTTACCTTGAATTAATCTAGAAACGATTATGATAATTTGAGTCTCAATAAAAAACCTCCTTATTCCTAATATTCCTTTGAAGAAAACGCACTGTTTTTTACAGGATACAGATAACATACTAAAAACAAGTAAGCAAAGGCTACAGCCGAGCGGGGCCGACCGTTGAATACCCTACAACACAATAATAAATGATACAGTTTATATAGGCGAGATACTCGAAAGAATTCCACAAGATATTGTGACAAATAATAAAAGAAAACCATCAGGTTTCGTTCTCTAATTTTCGAATAATAGCAACTTAAACTAATTTGCTCATTTCCAATTTATTGGTAGATGTTGCACGTAAATGGTTTTCCTAGATCTAGAACCAATATTTCCCAAAGACCTATAATCTCTAAGAAGTGGCAAAAGATTAACATTTATTATTGCCTTTTGACTGAAACGCATCTATATGAGATACAGACATTTGACTATATTCTTCAACGAAATCTGCGTTAACGAAATAGTCAGAAGTGCGTCTTTCCTGTATTTGTGAATTCTCCAAAAAGTCACTGGAATGGACATTTTCGTATTTTGTCTACAAAAGTTGGCAAACTCCTTTACACATTGAATATTTTTGGATGGCCATCCAAAACTGCTTGGCTTTTGCAATGTCCGGTAACCACCATTCAAATGTGCGTGAGGATCGGGCAATAATTACGACCTGCTGACAATTTTGCAGTTTTTTTTGTCCATTTCAACCCCTAAATATATGGCGATTATCTCCAAAAAGAGTAGGGTTCTATTCTGACCCTCATCTTATCCCCATTCAAAATTTCATAAGGATCGGGCCATAAATGCGATCTGTATATGATATCCTGATATCCTAACTACTTAGTTTTGTTAGCTGTAGAAATATTACCAAATGTTTAATTCAAAATGGAAATATGACAAAATTGAAAAAATATGAGAAAATATTACAAAATCAATATTTTCATCTTTAGAGAGATATGTTTATGCGATTTTTTAGACGTTTTTTCTTTCCTGCCAAGAGGCCATTCTGAATTAATGAGAACTGTCGAAATCAGTTCAGCCGTTCTCGACATATATGAGATCTTTCAAGCATATCTTCTTTGATAGTCATATATATCGCACATATTTTGCTATATATCCGATTTGTTGGATCTTAACATCAATGTAAAGATCTGAAGTAACCTTGTCATGGCTTTGTGATTTCGCCGGGATTTAAAATATTCGCGGTTTAATGAAAATTTTTTCAACACAAAAGATATGGTCTATTTTACCCGCTAAATATTATCCGATGACCACCCAAATTGGTAGGCTTCTTCCCCGCCCTAAACTCTAGCTACATTCCGCGTCGATTGGTCTATAATTGCGACCTGTATAGCTACTGCAAAATCCGACATTTTTTCAGTATTTGGTCCATTTCAACACCTAAACATTTGGCGATCATCTCCAAAAGAAATAGGCTTCTATTCTGACCCTAACCCCATCTTCGTGCCAAATTTCGTTAGGATCGGGCCATAATTGCGACCTGTAGAGTGATTACAAATTAACATGGACAGACGGACAGACGGACGGACGGACATATATAGCTAGATCGACTCAGCTCGGCGAGCTAGGAAGATCCATATATACTTTCCTATATGGGAAACCAATATTTCGAGGTGTTCCATAAATTCTGTCCCAATCAAACTTATAATACCCCCAACACATAGTGTTGTAGGGTATAAAAACCACATTATGATTTTTTCTAAAGAATATCACATTCTGGTCTTTTAAGAGTTGTTTTGGTCTTTTCTACGATATGGAATGCTTTCTGGTCTTGTTAAAAATAAAATAATTATATATTCTCCTCAGGAGAAAATATCACTTTTTTCTCCCAAATAAATTTCTTATTATTCTGTTACTAAAAACAAGTAAAAAAACATTAAGTATTTCGGGCCGGACTTTTAACATCCTCCACCATTGGGTAAAGAAAATATATATATATATATATATATATATATATATATATATATATATATATATATATATATATATATATATATATATATATATATATATATATATATAAATATCTGAATTCAAACGTCTTCCTCTTTAAACTACAAATACCAGTAAGACCTTCAGAATAATGCTGTTAAACTTTTCAAAAAACCATAAAGTGGACGAAGCCGTTATATGGGGGCTACACCAAAACGGGAACATCTGTAGACAACTTTATACTTTAAGGATTGTCATCTACCAAATCTTCTTAAATACCAAATTTGAAATTCGTAGCTAAATGTAAATAGTATTGTCAAAATACGGAATATCGGTATACGTATACGTGCACTTTAAGAAAATATGGACCAAAATATTCAATGTTCTGCCACCGTAGCTAGAACCCATTATGAACTACAAATACCAATTTTTAGACAAATCCGTGAAAAAATGTGGCAAAAATCATCAAAATGCCGAATATCGGGAATAACGGTATTTCCCGGGGGACTATACAAAAACGTGGACCTTACATACAATATTTCACCACCGGAGTTAGAACCTATTATGACTTACCAATACCAATAATTTTTAGACAAAGCCGTAAAAAAATTTGGCGAAAATCATCCAAATACCGAATATCGGGAGGTACTGTTATATGGCGGCTATACCAAAACGTGGACCTATATATAGTATGTTCCGCTACCGGAGGTAGAACCCGTTAAGAGCCACAAATACCCATTTTTAGACAAATCAATGACAAAATGTGGAAAAAAAATTATTAAAACAACGAATTTCGGGAGGTACCCTTATATGATGACTATACCAAAACATGATCCGATATATCTCATTTTCAATACCAACGATCCTATATACAATATAAATTCTTCTGCCAAATTTTGAAGCTCTACGTCAAATAATGTGGGCTATATCGTGATTTCAAGAGACAGACGAAGAAACAGACAGACGGACATCGTTAAATCGACTTAAAATTTTATGTTGATCATGAATATATATGCTTTAATGAATGAACGGAATGACAAAGTTAATATACCCTACTTTTCAAGGTGGAGGGTGTAAAAAAGCCGTCCTATTAAAGGTCAACCGTCTTCCAATGAAAAATAACCATCTTCCTATTAAAGGCAAAAATCTTCTCAAAGTCTACCACAAAATGAAGGGTACATTCATTTTGCCATCATTCCTGAAAAAAATAAATTCCACACATATTGATGGAGACATTCATGTGATTCTCTATGACATTTTGGCTGTTATTATAAAATGAAGACTGGTTATAAGAAGGCTAATTGTTTGGAAAATAAATATTTAAAGACTATCATCAATATTGACTTCAGCACATCACATATCCCCATATTATTATTTAGAAATTTGTCTCCAAACCTAACAATAAAAAAAATTTAAAAAAACATTAATTTTTTCATATTTCTGACCTTCATTATGTTGGCAGAGGTTTTAATATGAAAAATGTATGATGTGAACATTTAAATATTATTTTTAAATTTTTTTTTCAAAATAATTCCCAGCGGGCATTGTGTTGTATGTGGCAAATCAAATATATATCATTTAAAAATAATACTTATCACTTTGCGTCAGAATATCACATCAAAAATAATCCATAATAACAAAAGACTTAAGCAACAAACGTGTTTCGTCAATTTTTGCAGAAAGACTTAAGACACAAGCGCCTTTTTTTTTTTGGTTTTCTTTCTCCACTCATTTCACAACAAATATCATGGGGTTTTCCCAAGATTTATTTATGAAAGAGACTTCTGATATTTCCAATTCTTAAATAAGACCACGAATATTGGATATTGGCAACAATGCTTTACTTTGCAATGTGTATTATTATGTCTCAATTTTGTTTTTGTTATGTTGGCATGTTATGTTTTTTTTATTGAATAAAGAGCACGCAAAGAATTGCTCAATCAAAAATACGGAGTTTTAAAGTTTTTTTTAGATATATTATTTTTATATTTTAAGAAATAATATATTTTTTATATTAATCTATATTATATTTTTTCAATTCATTGACTTGTTTCAAATTCTTCACCTAAAACTTTTTTTGTCAATATGATATCATACAATTTGAACTTTTCTTGTTTTTGTTGTTTTCGTTTTGTTTGATTTTTTTTATAACTTGATTTTTGTGGTGAGCAAAAAATCCCAAGACGACGACAACGAGTTAGCTAAACAGCCCTGCTTTAAAGCAAGGTTAGCACACCAGCACTAAGGCACATACTCGCACACACACACACATATACCACCAGAGACAGATATAAACGCAATCGCCCAAAGTATAAGACATTTTGCAAAGCAGCCTCTCACAACTACATGCAAAACAATTTTAACAAAAATGCTTGGCAATTTGTTAGCACTTTCAAAATTATACACACAAAAATATTTCCTGTTTTTTTTTTTTTTTTTGGATTAAACCAAATTCAAATCAAAGAAGCTTAAAATATTTAATTTCTTATATTTCAACACACACCTTTATTTTTTGTTGTAATTTCTGGGTTTTTTTCTTATTTGAATTTTAATCTAAAATTGAGAATTTTGAGATGGCAAATTGAAAAGATTTAATTTAGTTGTTTGGCAATTTTGTTTTTATTTTCAGCATAAACTCATGTTTCTGTTTTGCACAATGGCCACCGACACACACAGAGGGCTACCGAACAACCGACAACAACAACGAATGCGACGATCAAACGGAAGAGATGGAAAACTCTAAAAACACACACCAAAAGAGTTTCCCGGCTTAAAAGATACAAACAAAAATGAAACGCGCACGTTGAAAGATACACACGTAATATGTTGTGCTCGCTACACCAACCTGGCTCAGACTGAGGCTTTTGCTTGAAACGTTAAGACGAAAACCGTCAACAACTGGCAGTAGCCGTACTACTCGCTCACAACTTGTTCAGAGTCTTAACAAGACAACACATACAGCAACAGCAACAACAACAACACTAGACACAAGCCACCATAGCTCTGTTATGACTCTCAGTTGTAACCCCTTCTTCTTCTCATTGAATGGCTTATATATTTTCTCTTATAAGACCACTTGGTATTAGAGTATTGACACTTCTCAGAGATTTTCGATTTGCCTTTGGCCGTAGTAAACCGGTCTTACCATGCTCCAGAGTATTTGCAACAAGTTTCCTTTTTTTATTCGAAAAAAAAAAAAAAACAATAACAACAACCAAAGAAGAGTTAAGAGCCCACACAGAAGCTCTCGTCATACTTTGGTGCTAACAACAGTCGATCGATGGAAGTTAAAGGGGTATTGAATTTAAGGGGTATTGAAGAAATATTGTGACGTAGGATTTTCCAACGGAAGACCGAGAGTTTTCCTATGGAAGACACATGGTCTTCCCATGGAAGAACTAAAGTCTTCCCTTGGAAGTCCTAAAGTCTTCCCTTGGAAGACCTATAGTCTTTCCATGGAAGACCTACATTCTTCCCATAGAAGACTTAGTCTTCCCATGGCAAACCAACAGTCTTCCCCTGGAAGACTTACAGTCTTCCAAGGAAGACATACGGTCTTCCAATGGAAGACTTACAGTCTTCCAATGGAAGACTTACAGTCTTCCAATGGAAGACTTACAGTCTTCCAATGAAAGACTAATAGTTTTCCCAGGGAAGACCTAAAGTCTTCCATGGGAAGCCTGTTGGTCTGCCATGGGAAGCCTGTTGGTCTGCCATGGGAGTCTTCTATGGGAAGAATGTAGGTCTTCCATGGAAAGACTATAGGTCTTCCATAGGAAGGCTGTAGGTCTTCCAAAGGAAGACTTTAGTACTTCCAAGGGAAGACTTTAGTTCTTCCATGGGAAGATCGTATGTCTTCCATAGGAAGCCACTCGGCCTAACCTACAGTCTTCCCATGGAAGTCTTATAATCTTTCCATGGAAGACCGACAGTCTTTCCATTAAAGATCACAGTCTTCCCATGGAAGATCATAGTCTTCCCATGGAAGACCTACAGTCTTCCTATGCAAGACCTACTATCTTCCTATGGAAAACAAAATGTCTTCTTATGGACACATACCTACTTCTTATGGAGATTTACTAACTTCCTACAGAAGATCTACTGTCTTCCTATGAAAGACCTACTATCTTCCTATGGAAGACCAACAGTTCTCCTATAGAATACCTACATTTTTCCTAATGGAAGACCAGTAGTCTTCCTTTGGAAGACCTAGAATCTACCTATGGAAGACCAACAGTATTCCTACGAACGACGTAGATCATTCCTACGTAGATCGACGACGTAGATCATTCCTACGGAAGGCCTACAGTCTTTCAATAGAAGACCAACTGTCTTCCTATGGAACAGCTAAAGTCTCTCATGGAATACCTACTCTCCTCCTATGGAGATTTAAATTCTTCCTATGGAAGACCTATTGTCTTCCTATGGAAGACCTATTGTCTTCCTATGGAAGACCTATTGTCCTCCTATAGAAGACCTATTGTCTTCCTATGGAATACTTACTGTCTTCCTTTGGAAAACCTACAGTATTCCTATGATAGACCAACAGTCTACCTATGAAAGACCTACTATCTTCCTATGGAAGACCTACAATAGTCCTTTGGAAGACCTATAATCTTCCTATGGAAGATTTTCTGTCTTTCTATGGAAGACCTTCTGTCTTCCTATGGGAGAACTACAGTCTACCTATGGAAAACTACAGTCTTCCTATGGAAGAACTACAGCCTTCCTATGGGAGACCTACTATCTTCATATGCCTTCATATAGAAGACCTACTGTCTTCATATAGATGACCTACAGTCTTCCTACAGAAGACCAACAGGCTTTCTATGAAAGTCCTCCAGCTACCTATAGAAGATCAAAGGTATTTCTTTGGAAGACCAACAGTCTTCCGATGGAAGACCTACAGTCTTCCTATGGGAGACCTATGGAATACTCACAGTCTTCCTATGGAAGACCAACCGTCTTCCTATGGAAGGCCAACAGTCTTCCTATGGAAGACCAACAGTCTTCCTATGGAGGAAAAAGCGTTTTCCTATGGAACAACAAAAGTCTTCCTACAGTCTTTATACGGGAAAACAATAGCTGAAAGAAGAGGATTTCCGGATCTCAAACTGATGACTCCCAATCAGCTAACTCGTAACCCATATGTTTTTGGAAATAAATCCTTTTAAATAATGTTTCACAGTCTTCTTGAGTTTTTGTGTGCCATCTTTAAAAAGTTTCTTTACAGCCCCTTACAATAACCCTCCACTGCTCTTCCTCAACAACAGCAAAAAATCACGAAGAAAACACATAAGAACCGCCTGTTAAATCATCTTCCTAATATTCACACTCTTCTCATCGTTAATGCACTCTCCCCAGCTTTTCTACACTTCCAACGAGTACTTGACGATCATGTACGACATTGATGTAAAGAGTGGGGTGCTGGACCCTCAAAGTCGTCATCATCATCATCATCACCGCAACGTAGTACTACTATATAATAATACAGCTTCTAATGCTACTACCGGTCGTCGAGTGAAGTTACTTCGCCACCCTTTTCTTCTGTCCTCCATACCGCTGCACTAGAATGAGTACAAGTTTGTCGTCATGGTTTGTTTATTTTCCAGTGTGTGTCCAGATCACATTACAGGCGGCTAACTCTAGCCAGCTTATCACAGTCATCATCTTCTTCACTAAATGGGCTTCTATCTTGTCATGGCGAGTGATCTCGATCTTGACGGTAGGGGTGGGATACAGAAAAAAGAAACAAACCGCAATAGACCATCGTAAAAAAGTAACGAAACGTAATAACACCATCGTCCCCTCTTTGCAAGGCCTTGTCGTAGCGGTGCAACAGCATAAAAACAACAAAAACCTAAAATAATGATGCCACCAGCCGTCAGTAGTTAAAGTTAGATTTTTATGTATGAATTTTCGGTCATTTTCAGTTTATTATGATTTTTTTTTTTTTTTTGTGGAATTTGAATATTAACCAAAAAGTGAGGTGGAATGGTGGTGTTGTCTTTGGCCACCCATCAATCAAAGAAAATGAATGGAATACACCGAGAGAATTTATAATGAAAAACCAGTAAAGAAAGTCCTAAAGTCGGGCGGGGCCGATTTTATGATACCCTACACCACTTTGCTAATTTAGTTGAGCTCCTCATAACAATTTTATGGGAGAATTCAATCATTATAATTTAAAATTCAAAGGACTAAATATGCCGAAGCATTTGCATCTTTTAGATTCGGATTTGTATTGCTCATTTGGTGCAAAATTAATTTGAAATCAGATAAAGATATATATGGGAGCTATATCCAAATCTGAACCGATCTCAATAAAATATGGCAAAGATATTTCTGAGCTGTATTTGATATATTTCCCTGAGTATCGTTGTTACGGGGTGCATATTACGGCTGTGGCTAACAAATACAACAAATCGGATGAATTACAATATTTATGGGAGCTATAACTATATCTGAACCGATCTTCACCAAATTTGGCATACTACCTTCTAGACTCAATTCGGTCGTATGTGCCAAATTCCATCCCATTTGGGCAAATATTAGACGTTTGGTGCACAATAAAAGGTAAATCGGACAAAGTTATATATGGGAGCTATATCCAAATCTGAACCGATCTCGCTAAAATTTAGCAAAGGTATTTCTAAGCTGTATTTGACATATTTCTCTAAATATTGTTGTTACAGAGTGCATATTACGGCTGCGGGGGACAAAAATAACAAATCGGATGAACAATATATATTGGAGCTATAGCTATATCTGAACCGATTTCGATCAAATTTGTCATACTTATTTTCAGGCCTAATTTGGTTGTATGTGCAAAATTCCATACTATTCGGTCTGATATTACACGTTTGGTGCACAATAAAAGGCAAATCGGGCGAAGATATATATGGGAGCTATATCTAAATTTTTACCGATTATTTCCAATTTCAATAGGGTTCGTCCTTGGGCCAAACAAATGTTGTTTGGAAAATTTCATCTCAATCGGATAATAAATGCGACCTGCATTTTGTTCACAAAAATACATGGACAGACGGACGGACAGACGGACTGACATGCATAAATCAACTCAGAAAGTGATTCTATGCAGATCATCAAAAGGAACTATGGGTCTATCTCGTTTCCTTTTGCCTGTTACAAACAAATGCACAAAGACGTAATACCCTGACCACCTTGTGGTGATGGGTATAAAAATTATTCGCTATGGAATTTAAGCGTGATAGTCTGATTTCTTTATATTTGGATGGAAAACCACAAGTGGCTACCGTTAGAGCACTCCAGCATTTAAATGGGAATAAATATTTTGTGTCTCGTGCCATCGCTCGTTACCGTGATGTCAAGGAAGTGGACAGAAGAATACAGAATACAACATCAGCAGAAATGGTTCGCAAAGTAAAGAAGCGACTTGATCGAAACCCGCGCCGCAGTGGCCAAAAAATGGCTCGTGAGCTGAACATATCACAATATTCCATTCGGCAAATATTAAAAAATGAACTCGATGTAAAGCCATTGAAATTCCAAAAAGTGCAAGAACTTACACCGCAACAGAAAGAAAATAGACTCAAAAGAGCTAAAGAGTTGCTTCGCTTGGCCGAAAGTTGTGAACTGGCGAATTTGATTTTTCTCCGATAAGAAAACATTCGTTGTCCAGCACTTTATAAACAAACAAAATGATCGTGTTTACTTGCCAAAGAGGACAGCTGAAAATGTGCACCTTCGGTTGGGCACCAGAACTTAAGTGCCGGCAATGGTGATGGTTTGGGCCGCCATAACAGCCGAAGGTCGCTCTCTGTTCGTATTTATCGACCGTGGCATCAGAATAAATACCAAATATTATCACGAAAATATTGTGGA